GGTGCGGCGTCCCCACCACCAGACGCCCCGCGGGGCAGGCGGTGCGGCGTCCCCACCACCAGACGCCCCGCTGGGCAGGCGGTGCGGCGTCCCCACCACCAGACGCCCCGCTGGGCAGGCGGTGCGGCGTCCCCACCACCAGACGCCCCGCGGGGCAGGCGGTGCGGCGTCCCTACCACCAGACGCCCCGCGGGGCAGGCGGTGCGGCGTCCCCACCACCAGAAAGGAGGTGGGCTGTCACCTGCTTGCGCTGTCTCTCGGCGGCCGTGGCCCGAGCCCTCAGGGAGTGGATTCGATCCACCAGCTCTCGCCTGCTCTCCCGGGCCTCGTCCAGGCTCTGCTCCAAGATGTCCTTCTCCACCTGGGGCAGAGACAGGTCAGCCCGGGGCCAGCAGGGACCCAGCCCTCGGAGGCTGCTTCTGGGGAGGCGGCCCACTGAGTCCTCAGACCGGGGCTGGGTGTGTACAGACTTCCCCTCCCGATGGCTCACTGGGCGGGAGTGGGGACCCTGGGCGGTGCAGACACCAGTGCTCCCCCACCAAGCAAAAGTGGGGGCTCCAGGCCACCCAGAGGTGCCTCGGAAGAAAGGCCTGGTGAGCCCTTCCGGAAATCGGCCTCCGAAACCCCGTGGGGCCAGCTCCAGTCTGCAGGCCTGGGGTGACATGAGGCCGGGTGACTCCCCAGCAACTGGCTGGGTGCTTGGTCTGGGTGCTGCAGGCGGGTGCCGGGAAAGGAGCTGCTCGGGGCACCTACCACACTGAAGGTCAGTGACCTGAGTTTCTCGTTCTCCTCCCTCAGACGGCTCAGCTCCTCATCTTCCGCCTCTAGGCTGCCGGCCATGTGCAGGGACCGCTCTCGGAACTCCCGCTCGCAGGAGGAGGCCACCTGGGCTTGGAGCAGCTCCTGCTTCGTCAGGTACAGCTGGCCGGGCCGGGCCACTGGCAGCCGGACCAGCGCCGTGAGCACCCCCAGCCCGCCTCCCGCGTGCTCTTGCTCTCAGACTCCAGAGCGGGTCCCGTCAAACGAAGAGCCCCAGGTCCTTGCGAGGAAAGAGCCATGGCAGCCTCGTTCGGCAGGTGAGGCACCGCGGTTCTGGGCTGGGGTCTTGGGAACACGAGGAGCCCTGGGAGTCAGCCCCGATTCCCATCATCCAAGTGGGGCCACTGGCAGCAGGAATGAGGGCTGCAGTGTGTCCTCAGCCCCCTGGCTTCTCTGCCTTTTCGTATTCTGCTCAGTGCATCAGATAAAGGGCGTGTGGATTCGTGAAAATCAGGATGTAAACAGAAAGAGGAAGGTCAAGTCCATGGGCGCAGGAGTGCTGGGGAACACAGGCCACGACTCGCAAACCCACCATCACGCCTTTGATGACATGCAAACCCACCACCTCCCGCCAGCACGCTGTCTGTCCAAGGTGGTGATCCGGGAAACCACCTTGCAGAGCCTGCTGCCCTCCTTCTGCTGGACGAGGTCCCAAGAGCCTTGGACCTCGAGCCACCAGGCCTGGCCTCTCCGTGCTGGGTGACGCCTTTGAGGAGATGGGTGAAGGGGTACCTCCCCGGGAGGCAGGCTCATAGAGCCAGGGTGCGGTGTGGTGCCCACTGCGGGGCTCGCAGGGGGACGGGGAGCTCCAGGCAAATAGAACAGTGGCGCCCACTGTGGGGCTCACAGGGGGAC